ATGGATAATTTCTGGAACTACATGTTGTAAGTTATTTCCTGCAAAAGCCCAGTTGAAAGCCCATAAGTCAGCTGGCATATTATTTCATAAACAAATCTCCATTTATGGCATGTTGACCAATAAAAGATTGATTGAGAGAATAAAAGAAGAAGTAACCTTTTCCTTTTTATCCCAATATCATTTTCCTTCTGAATTTAACCCTCCCCTACCTGAATACATGAGCCCTCCCAGTTGTAAGCTGCCCATTAAAACCCCCTGACAAAAGAACATAAGCCTACTTTAGTGCTGAGACCTTGGGTTATACTGAACTTTATGATCATGATAACTGGCATCTAATCTTATTCATCTTGTTCACATTTACCTTGGTATGTCTATATTTTACTTGTAGCTGATCAGCATATAACACAGGTAGATATTGTTCATCAGCTGTCACTCTGTCAATACAAGCTTTATGTTACCGTACATAAACACATTTGAAGTGTATTTTTATGGTAATTTATAATTGTTAACTTTAAGGGCAGTGACATCACAACAGCAATCCCCAATTACTATTGATCCTGTAACTTAAATATAAGCACAGGCACTGACATGTAATCAGTGTTGTTCAGTAGTTCTACTGTATATTTTTACCTCAAAAAAGAGTAAATCTCTGCAGGAATCGCAAATCTCTCAAAAACCACTTTTTCACTCAGAATGTGGAAAGACAGTTTCTTTCTCCAGTGAGATACAGGTAATTCTGAATGTGATGGTGCTTTCTGAAAAGAATTTTCAAAATGAAAAAAAATTGGTTTATTCAGATATGTTTACTAGATATCCTGATTGGTATGGAGCACAAGCTTTATTATTACAGCACAAAGCACATGCGCTCATGACCTTATTGTGCCATTCTTATCCAAATTAACAAACTTGTACTAATTTGTATTTTATAAAAAAATAATAATAATAACTTTCTTGCTGTTCTGTTTAACAAATGAAATAATAAAATAGCTTTTTCCATGCTCCATTCAGTAATAAAGCATGGTGGAAAGGATGTAAGCACTAAGTGTAAACACACTTTTTGAGTCCTTATGGCTCTTCCTAAGTGCTTTATTGCTGAATGGAGCACAGAAAAAGCTATTTTATTTGTTTTATTATATTAGTTACTATCTCTTTTTTGGTATTGAATTTATTTACACAAAAAGAAAGACGGATGGTGTCAGCACTGTGCTCCATTCACTAATAAAGCACAGTTTTCGAACAATCTACACGCACGTACTATCCTAACTATATAATAAAACTATTTAAAGCATATGGAGATATTTAGTGCTTCCCTCTGCATGTTTTATACCTGTACACAGCATGCACACAATTTTTTTTAAATTCAGTAAATGAAAGCCAAAAATTTTGAAAATCCAATCATGAAGTTGAATGTTGATGAGGTCACAGATACATAAAATTAAACACAAACATAAAAGATTAAGAATATTTTTAGTGACCATAGTATAACATCAAGTACACAAACATGTACTGTTATGGCCTTTAAATCAGAGAATTGGAGTTTGTTATTTCACCTTTTCATTCTTGGTACTGGAAAGAAGATTCACAGACTCATCTTTAGGTACAGCATAAATAGTTAGTTCATCAACAGCATGTGACGTAAAGTAGTTATCAAATGGTGTCATCCCATGAGGATAGATAAACAGATGAGCAAATAGTGTACCATTTTTCCTAGTTTTTCTTGGAATACTGACATTGATAGATCTATAGGAAACAGAAGAAGAAAGAATCACACACAAGACAGAAATAAAGAAATCATATTTTAAATTTACTTACAAAGAAAATGGTTCTAAAACACTAAAATTATCATCCTTCCATACAAATTCCATACTGTTGCTATTAATGGCATCTTTCTTTGTAGACGTGTAAAGCGCAACCTGAAATAAAAAACAACAACTTTGATTTTCTTCAATTCGATAGAACACATGCTCTGGTCAGGTGCAGCAAAGCTTGAGAGCCCTGCCAATAATTTTGCTGCCATTTTTAAAATTCATTTGCTTATTTTCTATTTGATATAAAATTCAGTATATAAAAGATATTTCTGAAATATAAAGTCCCCCCTCCGTCCCAATCCAAAACTTGCTCTGCAGTCCCTGCTGATTAGTATAGAACTGTGCTGAATAAGTGAACAGAGCATAGTGAAGCTGAGACAATCCCAACTGCTTTGTAAAAAATAAAGTGATCAGCACTAACAAGGGACCAGGGACCCTAAAACTTATTTTGAATTGATTTTTGGACGTAGAGAGGTCAAAATAATTTTTTGTTCATTCATGCAATTTTACAAAGTCGTATATTTGTCAATTTTCAAACAAAACCAACCAGGTCAGGCAATAAAAATCTTAGCACTTTTCAAAAAATGCCCAATTTTACCTCAAAATTTTCATGAAATTATAAATTTTTTTGTCAGATTATAGAAAAAGGTAGTCAAAATAAGAAATTTTTTGGAGAAATTTTCAAAACAACGCTATAAATAAACGGTAAAAAACAAGATGCACGAAATGGCTGCACAATAGCAAAGGTCTTGAACTACCTTAAGTATTGCAGTTTTCAAATGACTGTGAAAAGTCCGTGCAAAATATGCGTGCCTTGCCGTGACCGTGATGTTTTCTAAAATATTTTTTGAGCATTGTTTAACCTCCTGCAAATGGGCTGGCATATGCCTTGCCAATGTAACAGCCATGTTCCAAGAGCTTTTCAGAGTCAATTTGAAAACTGCTTTAAGTGTCCCAGCCCCCGGCCACCTGCCCTCCCGTCTTGGAAAAAACAAATAACAAAGGTAGCCCAGTGTTTCAAAAAGAGAGTATGAAAATAAAGGAACATTCCTGATTCTCTCCTGTATATTAGATGATTTTGGTATTTTGTATTGCAATTTCATCCAGCTGTGTGTGTGTAATACTTGATAACAAAGAGGAAAGAAGAAAAGGATAAAACGTCAAGACGAGACTACAGTCGCAATTTAGATACACCTTTAAAAGCTTTACCTTCTTATTAGACTCAAGCATAAAATCATAACCTAGATATTAAAATCATAAGAATATAAAGAAAAAGAAACTTAACTAGAGCATACTAGAAAACCTAGAAGGAAACTAAGCTTAATATAAGCTTAAGCTGAATGAAAATGAAATCCCTGAAATACACGTCAACTCACCTCTAGTGGCCCATCGATGGTTTGATGAGGATAAAGACATAACTTTGGCCCTCCAGTACACGCAGGAAGATAGAAAAAATGATATAAAACATACAGGGAATTCAGCACATACAAGCCAAATAATACTAAGGCTATAGTCGTAAGGTTAATCTTGCCCATGTTGAACTCCACATTGGAAAATCTTTAGTTATGATCCACACCACAGGGAACCCATGACATCAAAAAAACACACACACAGGTATCCCGCAGGTGTACCCCAATTACGGTTAAAACTCCATTTTCACGATTTCGTGTGAAGAAGAAACTTTGAAAATCAAACGTTTTGTGATCATTTATTGATCTTTTTTTGTACCTATTTGAATTTTTCGGTTTTCGATATTCGCTATAAATTTTACYAGTTTTCTTCGGCGAAGAGGTAGGAACGCCTGTTCTATTTGTCCAAAAGTAAGTCTTTTGGATCAAGTATCAGCAATGTTCAGACCATTATATAGAATAGCATCTTCTGTTCACCTGAAGGCCCTGAGAATGTGTAGCACATCAGCATTAAGTAGACGTCTAGATGGTAAAGTTGCTGTTGTTACTGCATCTACTGAAGGGTAAGAAACCCAATAATTGGAACATAAAGTTCTAGCTTGCTGAATAAATAGTAGCTTATGTTTGCACAAATTCAAAACTTACATATAAGCCTTAAGTTAATTATCAAAATATATTATTGTTATCAATAAAATTATTAGTTATTGGTAAACTTTGCTGTGAAGAAGATCAAGCTAGATTGAATAATGATTTTAAAACAGTAAAATTTTATTTTTAAATAATTATTCAAATTTATTAATTTGATAGCAGTGTTACCTCTATTAAACAGACACCCTTTTTTAAACCCACAGCTATAGTATATTTGAGGCTTTTGAATTCAGACATAATATAAAATGAATGGATTATGGATAAAAGGCGTAGATTTTTTAAGAACATGACTTTTCAGCTATAACTATATGATAGCCTTCATCAGAAACCAGAAAGTTCTTATTCATATCAGCTGATATCCTTCTTTAATCAGACAGGAAGTTGTGCAGCCCAAAAATATGCTTCCCACATTCGCTGAAAGACAGCCTCTACTACTGTGTGGACCCTCTCCTGGAGAGCACTTAAATAAAACTGACCAATCAGATATCAGTATACTAGACAAAGATTGAACTGATAACAGTGCTAGCCTATCAAATTTTCACATTCTCACACTATTTTGATTTCTATGTACTGATTGGCTGGTTAAAAATAAATAAACTAAAGGTCACAATATGATTGGTTAATGATACTAGTTTATAAAAGTGGTCCCAGTTGAAGTATTCACATGCTAACTAGACAACAGGCAAGGCCCCAAAGGTGTTCTCTTAATAGAGCTTGGTACCTGTAAATAATTTTCAGTTCGATGTGAATGTTGAACTTTATTATAATAAAGTATATTAAATTAATATGAAAATTTATATGATTCATTGATGATATCTTGGTTATTGATTAGGATTGGTCTTTCCATTGCACAGCAGCTGGGGAGAGATGGTGCAAAGATTGTTGTTAGTAGTCGCAAGCAAGACAATGTTATAAAAGCAACTGCTGCCTTAGAGAAGGAGGGAATTGATGTACTTGGTATCATGTGTCATGTTGGGAAATCTGAACACAGAAAGAATCTTGTTCAAAGGGTAATGAGGTAGCTGTATCATTGTCTTCTAATGCTGGTCATGGGGAACCACAAGTGATGTAGCACTGTATCATTGTGCTCAGATAGCCTTAGTGACAGTCAAACACTACATCACCCATGCTTCCTTCATGCCTTAAAAAACATAAACAAGTGTACAGCTGTAACGGAAGTAAAGTCAAGATTGAATAGCCCTGATTAGTACATGACAGAAAATCTCTATACCATAATGAACTAGCTGTCCCCTACATTCCCATAATATATACTAGCCTAGCTACATGGTGGCATATCTGACAACATCCAATCCTATCCTATTCCACCCCAAAAAGACCATTATGACAGGTTTTTTTWAATTATAACACCTATTATGTCAATGTTTAGGTCAATAATGAAGTTGTACATTAGTAGCATTAACGTCATTTGTTATTTGCAGACACTGAGCCATTTTGGAGGAATAGATATTTTAGTCTCCAATGCAGCAGCAAATCCTGTGTTTGGTTCTATTTTACAGGTAAAATCAAAAAAACGTTTTAAACATTATTTTTCTTACTYATCTATCTTAAGGTGACAATATATGTCTGTCTGTCTCTCTGTCTGTTTATCTGTTTCTCTGTATCCCTCTCTGACTGGCTCTCCGTCTGTCTTTCCCTCTGTCTGCCTGTCTCACTCTCTGTCTGTCTGTCTGTCCATCTGTCTGTCTGTTCTCTGTGTTTGTCTGTCTAATTCAGTATGTTTCATTCATTTATGACATTGATGATTTTATATTTTGCTATTTTTTTTCTAATTTAATTACAACAGACTTCTGAAGAGGCATGGGATAAGGTAGATATGTAGCTATCTTCAACTTTATGTTTTTCTCATTAACCCCAAATGCTTAACAATGACCCCCCCTCCCCAACAATACTTCTTTATGCTTAATTTGTATATTCTTTACTGTAAAAACTGTTTTTAATATGAAATGACAATTCAAAACAACACTCTCATTATCAGATTCCAGTTATTAGAAAAAGCAAATCTTTGATTTATAAAGTTTGTCATCCTGATAACCAGTAAAAAATTTCTAGAAAAGGATTTTCCCTCGCTCACTCATTGTTTTGTTTTTCAGATTTTTGAAGTTAATGTCAAATCTTCCTTTCTTCTTGCCAAAGAGATGGTGCCGCACATGGAAAAAAGAGGGTATAGGATAAATAATTTTTAATCAAATTATCAAATAATAAATTCRAAACATTAATTTAATTTTAAGGTGAGGCTAATTAGGCATTCAATCAAGAAAGTGTACCTTAAGGTGGCTCAATACAATAATTTTGAAGCATGACTCCTCTACTTGTAAGGCAAACTGCGCGGCACCAGATATACCTTGGCCAAATATGAGCTTATACTAAGTGTAGGGATCGATGGAAGTTTTAAATCGTGTATATGTCATAACCATCRGACACGCCCTGGAAATGTAATAAAAGCGAGAAATGCTTACTTTTCTAATTTTGTAATTAATTGCAATCAGGCCAACCGATTAATCTTGATTTCTCGTCATCACTGGTTATTACATCGATAAGCGAAAATATCATAAAAATAGTTTGTCAGAGAACGAAATTAATGCATTTTGTGGATATTACGGGACTCCATTGATATTTCATAGATTCACGATCCAAAAATATTAAAACTGGAATAATTTTAAAACTGAACAATGAAAATCTCTGAAACTTTCTGACCTTGAAGACTACCATAGTATGTTTCAGATAGTGAACTCCGTTTCTCCGGGTCTGGTCAGATTATGCCAAAAAATAGATTTAAAAAATAATCACATGACGTCACTGTGCCTTCAGGGCGTGTCCGATGGTTATGACATATACACGAWTTAAAACTTCCATCTATCCCTACRCTTAGTATAAGCTCATATTTGGCCAAGGTATATCTGGTGCCGCGCAGTTTGCATTACAAGTAGAGGAGTCGTGCTTCAAAATTATTGTATCGAGGCACCTTAACTCAATGAATACATAGCTTAACCCTCAAACCTTACAACCTCTGGACAGATGTAAGTCAGTGCATGCATGGCTAACTCACAGATCCAACCCTGAAACAACCTCTGGGCAGATCTAAGTCAGTGCATGGCTAACTCACAGATCCAACCCTGAAACAACCTNGCTAACTCACAGATCCAACCCTGAAACAACCTCTGGGCAGATCTAAGTCAGTGCATGGCTAACTCACAGATCCAACCCTGAAACAACCTCTGGGCTGATCGAAGTCAGTGCATGGCTAACTCACAGATCTAACCCTGAAACAACCTCTGGGCTAATCTAAGTCAGTGCATGGCTAACTCACAGATTGAACCCTGAAACAACCTCTGGGCTTATCTAAGTCAGGGCATGGCTAACTCACAGATCCAACCCTGAAACAATCTCTGGACTGATCTAAGTCAGGGCATGGCTAACTCACAGATCCAACCCNCAGGGCATGGCTAACTCACAGATCCAACCCTGAAACAATCTCTGGACTGATCTAAGTCAGGGCATGGCTAACTCACAGATCCAACCCTGAAACAACCTCTGGGCTAATCTAAGGCAGGACAAGGCTACCTCACAGATTGAACCCTGAAACAACCTCTGGGCTGATCTAAATTTGGGCAAGTTTTACTCACACTGATCAAACCAAGAAACAACCGCTGGGCTGATCTATTATTTCTTCACAATATTCTTGCAGGATAAAATATAGACGAAAATATGGTCAATAAATAAAATATATGATAAAAGTATATGTAAATTTCTTAAGAATAAATATTATTTGTTTCYCTAATAAAATTATAATCTTATGAAAACTTCATTGCATAAATTATATAAATTAAAATACATAAATTAAAGATGGGACATGCATCCTTGTTGGATATATTAATACTTTTGTTGTCATTTTTTCTTAGAGGGGGATCCATCGTATTTATTTCATCAATAGGAGGATACCACCCTCTACAGGTATATTTTACAATATTAGACCTGCAGCCCAGTAATGGTTTATTGACTTGTAGACCATGAGCGCAAGACGTCTAATTGTTTTAGCATTAATCAGTCTACTTATAGGTCGAATAAATGGGTACAAACAATGTTGAAATGAATGGTACTTTGTATACAATATATAATTCAATATTTTGGTTTTCAAATTTAAGAGAGGGAACAGCTGCTGTTGTTTGTTAGTTTTGTTGTTGTTTTTTAGTATCTGTCTGTATAAATTTGAGACCAGAGGTGAAGTTATTGGGTGGGGGAGGGGTGGGGTGATGGGCCTGATATATTTTGACACTGGGAATTTAGGGTATACTGTCGTGTTATTTATGCATATGACTGTTACCAAGTCTGGTACTGATGTTTAATGTTGGATTCCTAAGGGTCTTGGTGCATATTGTGTGAGTAAGACAGCATTATTTGGCCTGACTAAAGTCCTTGCTACAGAATGTGCTGATTTTGGGGTCAGAGTCAATTGTGTTGCTCCAGGCATCATTAAGACAAGGTTTAGTGCAGCAGTAAGTATTTATACTTTCTTCTGGAAATTATTATGTTTAGGGTAAATTGTGGTCTTTTTTTTTTTTTTTTTTTTTTTTTCAAAAAATAAGTTTTTTTTCTTATGCAAAGGCAGCTCCAGCATTAAACCAAGCCAAAAAATGCAAAGGGTTTGAATACAGTGGTTGATCCAATGATCCCTGTCCACTGGTTGCATCATTTGACGAAGTTCAAATATCCTTAACTTAATCTAATCAACCCTAAACACTATTTCTACAGCTCTGGAAAAATGAGGCAATGCACGAAGAAGTAGCCAAGCAAATCCCTCTAAAAAGGTATGAATTTATCCAGTTTTTGTGTCATGTAAAATTTCAACTAGTCTCCTTGATGAAAACAGAAAATTGAATAAATATAAAATTCTTTATAAATTTGTTTTTAACTTAAAAATTTTTTAAAAGTGCAATTATCACAATATCCCATCGTATGCCGAATAGCATGTAATATAATCAAAAGTTCTGATAGTATTAAATAGTCTCAATAGAAAGATAGATAGATTGCATATGTGATAAATCTGTGAAAAAGTTAACTAACAAAATTGTACAAATTGTACAAAGCCTTGTAGGTCTACGGCCTACTGAAGTCTACTGAACTTTAATACTAATTTGTGCACATTTGTGCAATTTCCTACAAACTTTTTCATGGTTATATATCATATACACTCGATTGCACTATTTTGTATTATTTTGTGCAACTAAATAAATTGAGTACAGTTTCATTAAGTGTGAGCACTCCTAACTTTCATCTTATCTTATAACATTTTGAAGCCAACAGTGCATGATATTTGTTATCATTTCCAGGTTGGGAAAGTCAGAGGAAGTAGGAGGAACAGTCTCTTTCCTGTGCTCTGATCAAGCATCTTATTTAACGGGAGAAACCATCGTGATAGGTGGTGGTATGACAAGCAGGCTGTAGCACAAGCAAAAAAAGACTTGTTGCTCAAGGCCCTGTTACCCTGTGCAATTTTACCAGCAACCTGTATTGTTGTGACACAATATTTAATGGAAACGCAATTGTGACAAGTTGCAGGGGTTTATAGTAGTAACAGTAGTTTTATAGTAGTAACAATGAATTCCTAATTAAGATCCTGAATTCACTTGGGTGACCATTAAACAATAGCTCCAAGTTGAGGTTGGACCTGAAGCTAGTGCTCAATACATTCACTGTGTAACCATGGTCACGCAAGTGAATTACATATCTTTTTAGAGTATACCTATTAAAAAAACCAGAATAAATTCTAGAATAGAATAATTCCACCATCAAGCTGCACTCCTGATGCATATTTACCAATGTCACACAACAAAAATACTAAAAAGCACTACAATTTTTTAAGGGAGCTTATTAATTAGTATATTTATGTGTACACTTTATTAATAGATTAGAAGATAAGGAGCAGGCGTAGCTCCGTTAGTGCGTGACCTTCAGAGCTTGAGGTCCAAAGTTCGATTCTTAGGATCTCAACGTCTGTTTCGACTTCTGTCTAATCCGTGTAGCTTCAGATTAAATACTCTTAAAACAGAGCACTGATGGAGAGAGGGGTAAAGTGTGCACCGTTGACTTCCATTGATAGCAGTTGAAATTCAACTGAACGAACTACTGTCGTTAAATATTACTTTACCTTTACCTTTTTAGAATACATTCATTTTCAAACCCTAGAAGCGTGCTACCTAACTATTACTAAAAAGTGCTATAAATTATGCTAATTCTATTGTTTAATTAGTGCTAAGAAATGCAAAGTGTTGCGGGCTTGCAGTGTTTGTCCTCTATTCATAAACATTAGTACATTAGTAAGAAAGCAAAGTTTTAGATTATATAATGTTGACTATAGGAGAAATGGCATTAAATATAAATTTTAATATTTTGAATATTTTGAATATTTTGATGTTCATTTTGACACAATGCTATCTCGTCACAATCTATAGTAATTTTATTGTGTAACTAAGAATAACTGTAATGTCAGTAGTAATGGCTTCACTGTTTTGAAACCTACTCTTTGATTGCCCATGAGTAAAGAACCTATTTTGTTAGGTTAGGTTGTGCTTAGTTGTTTTGGAAGACCGATCACTTTGTCATTTATAATTCCATGTATTTTATTTTAACCAATTATGGAACTTGTTGCAAAAGGTGTGGAATGCCCCTGTAAAGTTAGTAAAATAATCTACTTGTTCATCAGTGCTTTAGATATTAAATTTTACAACCATCCATATAGGAACAATGTTTTCTGATTCCAAACTTTGTTGGAATGTGAGTTCTTGAGTCACATCTGTGAAGGTATTTTTTTGATAATCATATGCCAAAAATGTAATTGGTAAAAAAGGAAAAGGGTCATTTTACTGCTACTTCAATTTAGTTTTTAGATCTTGGTCAACCAGTTCTGGAGAAATAACGCATACCATTTGAGAACTGGCCGCTCAGACTTGTCTGTTAAACCTAACAGAAATTCCCTTAGAATGATTTAAAGTAAAGTATTCCTACAATAAACCTAACTAATATCAAAAAGTTTACAAATGATGTGAGTTCTATCCTACCATGGTCCTCTTTCTTCCCCTCATTCTGATCTCGTCCAACTTCCTAATCACATCATCTGCCTTCTTGGCTAGTTTCTTGTACGTGACCAATATTTTCTTGAAGAGTTCTTCAGTATTTGGGTGAGTGCTGAGAAATGCTCTTTCAAGGACGTACAAATCCACCCCCTTGTCTTCGGGTAGTGCAGATACAGAGCTAAGACCAAAGTCAATCAAGGTTATAACCTGATCCTTGCTTTGTTTTTTCAACAACATGTTTGATGTGGTTAAATCACCGTGAATACAATCCACATTATGCATGAGTGCTAGGGTTGATCCAATATTATCAGCAATATCATTTAACATRCCCATTGCACTATCACAGTTCTCCTCTAAAAGACTATTGATACGGTCCCTGACTGTGTAGCAATCTTGTATTCTCTCCATTACGATTCTATTCTTCTCTAGATCAAGAAAGTACACGCACGGTGTTGGGATCCCTGCCTTTCTACATCTCAATAAAGCACGTGCCTCCTGAGCGGTACGCCGGCAAGTAAGCTTCTCATCCAACGAAGGATGCCTGTAAGACTTGCTAAATCTCTCCTTGATAACAACTGGCTTGTTGTAAAATTCCCCGGAGAATATTTTAGCTTCTGCTCCTTGTTTGATGAGGACACACTTTYCTTCCTTCTCGTCCGCCATCTTGAATCCAGAGAAAGACTGGGAAMGAACAACTAGGTCAGCTGTTACTTATGTGATGACATGCGCATTAGCTATTTCTTGCCACCATCTTGGATTCGTATTTGTGGTCTGTTGGATCCAGTCAGGTAATTTATTGACATTTTTTTACACTTTATTCATCTTATTTTATTTCTTTTTGTCCTTTAATCTTTAGTTTAGTGTTCCTTTATATATACTACAGCAATAAGATGCCTAATACCTCACTATCCATGTACAACTTTACTTAACGTATGACCATTATTATTCTCTCGCTCTCTCTTTGCAGAATGCAGCCTCTAGTAGCCCGAGCTATGAATTATTTCAGGGGTACTCTACCCCATCTGTATGAAATACGTTTCCTCATAGCAGGATTTGGAATAGTATATTATGGAGTATACAAGATCCAGAAAGCTGGTAAGCTATTTAATTATATGCCATGGACAGACTGCACCACAAACTAAGATAAATGAAATAAAAGTGACAATTGCATTGGTCTCATTTGTTCTGTAATTTTAAATCATGCATTACCATATGTAACACTAAAATCTATATAATTTCACATTTTTTCTTGATATATTATATGTATTGATTTTCATTCTTTTCCCCAGGTGAAAAGAAAGCAATCTCAGGTGAGTTCAATGCCTTGTTATTCACACAGGAAGTATTTTTTGGTGGGAAGTTATCTGACCATCATTGTCAACACATACTTTAGTCAAAGAGTCCATGAAGTTTTTTTATCATGCCGGACCTGTATGGCCCTGCTTGCACGCTCTAATAAAACCTTGATGAAAAATGAAAAAGTTATGTGTTGGGGGGCCGGATGGGTTGAGTTGAACAGGCCAGAAAAATTCATACTTCCCTGCTAAAAAGCTGTCCAGTCCTGCTCATTTGCATGCTCTGTATTTATCAGTTTTAGCAGGGTTTTCATTCCACTTCATCCCCTCCCATCCCTGCCCAGGTCCCTGCCCTCTCCTTAAATGAGAGAGTAGTTTGGGTTAGGTAGAGTGGTTTTAGAGTAGTTTGTACTGCGTACAGTTTGTCTACCATAATTCTCAACATGTCACCATAAATTTTGACATGTACTGTATATACAATTTGATCTAAAGTTTATCATTATTTATCTGTTGTAGACACCCCGCATCATTAATGGTTGGTTGGTCCTTCACCTGTACATTCATCAACAAGATATTAATGGTTTTTTTATCGCTTATGATACAATTTGTAATGATATCAACATAATATCATCTTTGCAGCTTGAATGAATGGAATATTTTGATATGCTTGTGTGAAATGAAATAAACCTTGGTTGAAGATTAAAAAGTGATAAGTTATAAAGTAATGTGTCTTGACTTGGATCACTGTAGATCACTTCACTTGGATCACTTCAGGGTTACATAAAATGGATGTTCGGCTGTGAGCATTGTCTAACATGGATGGCAGAAGGAACGTCAAACAAGGGCAACATCAACCCTTAAAATTGCAACTGTGTGATTATTTCGTGACCCACCTTTAATGAGGATGTAGCCTTGTGGGTTAAGATATGTTGGGATTATAATTAATATAATCACAGCTTTTGAGCTTGAATACAGTTTTTTTACTGGCATCAATAGTTTATTTATTTATTTGGACTAAGCATCCACCTTCAGGGAATGTTACAAAGCGTTGTTAAATGTCATTTGCAATGGTTGAAGAATCATCTATTTATTAATATTATGGAACCAACCTACCCAATTAAGGTAGTTATAAATTTTTCATTAATGGTCAAGAGAGTGTCCTCCATGATCAAAAAAAATCCAGTATGACATTTTTTTTCTCATGCACCTTTGGTTTCCTGTATAATTTCCCTGTTGTATCCTAAGCCTTTGATATCAGTGTACTAAGAGTGTGTTTGTACAGTATACAGACAACATAGGATGCCTTAGGGAAATTATATGTATTATGGTGGACACTATTTTGACCTCCAGTATTTTTTTTTTTTTGAGCCCTTCATTTTTACATAAATTTGGGCTCCCTATGTGAACAACAATGTTTTATATTTCTTGAGCTTCTCTTATGAAATCAGTACGTGAAAAGTCTGAAGCTGACAGATTTTAAGAACCCAGTGCTAGTCCTGAGGTAAAACCTTGTGCTTTTCAACCAAAGATTCAGAGATTAACGACCACGTGAAATAATTCAAAGCAAAGTACCTGAATGAAAATCAACTATGTTGGCGGATCATTTTTTAAATCTTTTGTCTGTCTGGAAAAATCAAAGAAAGAACAAACAAAAAAAGGATGCTATCAACAGGGAAGGGCAGAAGTGAAAAAGAACGCACAACCTCACACGTGGGTGGCAGAGTGGCGTCGGTTTAATTTTTTTTGTTTAATTTTTGTGTGTTGTTTTTTCCGTTGCTACGTGGAGTATTTTCTCCGGGATTTTCACATTTCATCCCTTACCTAAATATTTTTATTGTGAGTGAACGGGTGTTAGTTGTAAGTGCGGAATTAACGTAACACTCACTCTAGAAGGCGGAATGAGTACAGGAACGACTCTCCGGCCCTAAAATAAATAAAAACATTATATGCTGCCTGTGATCTTTATATTAGTTCCAAAGTTATTCGGAGCGTCAAAATCCCCATTAATTGATATGATAAACTATACAAACTGATATTGAGCCAAAAAAGTACTTTTAATGAAAGCCTTTATGTCTTGTCACGCCTTTTTATTGAACTGTCACGCTACCAAGCTCTTTTCCGTAGTGACAGGTGCAAGTCACATTTGATCATGATAAGAAACCATTCACAAGCGAGGAGTGCAAAGTATAAATAATTTATCTATTACACCGGTGATGTTTTGAAATATCGTTCACGTCGTTGAGAATAATACAGATGAATGTATTGCTTCCATAATCCGCGTTAACCTTTCTCAAGCCACAGATAGTCTTACTAACCATGGCTGATCGGTCATGACCGGCGATGTTCGTCGCGACTCATTCTAAAACCTGATTAAAATTTTCTTTTCCTTCAATTTATCTTGATTATAGTCTGTGGTCATAATGAATCGAAGAAACGACTTCAATTTGGTGATATAATGTTCTACGCATCTGTGTTAGCACTGGGACTGCATATCAAAAGTAAGTCCACAATTCTTTAGACCTTAACAGATAAGAATTCTCGCAGACTTTTCAAAATATTTTATTTTGCTTAATCTTTGATCGATATTATTTAAATTTTAGTTGATGTGTTGGTTTTTGCAGCATTCAAGGTTCAGCAAAACTAATAGTTTATTTTTAATAGTGCCGGAATCAGAACTGCTTTGTGGTTGAAAAACTACAGTATAAGATCTACTGTCGACTCAATATCATAAGTGAATATTGGGAACTCGTGGACAATGCAACTTCAATCAGGAAGGGATTGAAGGGAAGTGAAATTGGCGGGAAATTACATGATCACGTGACAAGAGCCCGGACGTTGAATCTGATGGCAGAAAAACTTGGAGGCTTTATATAATTTTCCTGTTTCATACTCAACCCTCGAGTAAGGAAGGCTCAAAATTATAACATTTCACCTGGTTCAAGATTAATGACAGTCTTGTTATCCCTTTTTAGGAAGAAAGCTTTTAAAGGAAAAGAGAAAATCTAATTCTGTTATTGATGACTCTCGGAAGTTCCCTCATAGTCACTATCAGGGAGATTGCCATGTTGACTCACGTCTCGTTAGCAACACCGCAGTAAGTATAATATAAAAACACCTTCACGAGTCTGCAATACCAAATAAAAATTAAAGGTCAAATCTTCAATAAAATCGAGGCTAAGGATGAGCACACCCGGAGAAAAATGCGTCCTGGATTTTATATTTATTCTGACTAAATAAGCGCAACCCGTTGAAGCTATACAACGTGTTAATAAACCCTGCATTGACGGACCGCGCGGGAATGGTGGAACATGCAGAACCTGCCAACCAACGTTAACCTCAGCTCAGAAAAAAATGTTTTATTATGCAAAAAGACATCTATATCTATTTAATGTAAACTATTTACAGGCAGCATTTCAATTTAGAAAAACAAACTCGATTTATTCGAACGTGATTGCTCACCTAATATAATACTAAATAACTGAATCATAAGCAAAAAGAAGTAGTTACACTTTTTTTAATTATTAATGCCAAAATCAAAAATAATATGCTTTAAAAAAACGCACAATCTTATCTGGATACGGTGGGATTCGAACCCAAAGACAGAAATTTGAAAAAAATCGATTCCACTTTGCCATACCCCCGAGACATCCGCAGAGCTG